CTTTATTCAGTCAGTTAAAAACTTGCTTTCTATACGAAAATTTAAATTAACGAAGCGAAATTAGACGGTTCACTTAATGGAAGAACTGACGGCTGAAATTTTGATATGATATAAAGAATATGTTCCTAAAAGAATACACCTTGGCCGACGACGTCCAAGTCATCACATTAGGCAGTCGGATGGTAGTTGGTTGAAGAAAAAATTCAAATAGTCGGTTTCTCTTCGGTTTTTATGTTTTTTGGGATATTGATCTGAATTTGACTTTCCTGAACAAAATGTTCCATTGCCAATCGAGATATACGCAAAAACATCAAAATTTCCAAACATTTTTTAGTTTTTTGGACATGACTCCGAAACTGTGCATTTTATCGAAATTATTATTATATACAACGTTAAAGAAGATAAAATTACTATCAGTTTTATACATACATTTTTGATGTAGGGCTAACAGGTGAGCAATAATTCCAATAATATTGACTGTTTGCATTTTTCACAAGAAAAATCTATTGTGTCGGTTTTCACCCAAAACTCATAATCTATGCATGGACCAAAGAAATTCAATATAATCAATTTGAAAGAGCAGTAAGTTTCATATGTACCTCATACAGACACGTTAATATGTAAGAAGATTAAACGGCTGTTAAAGCTCAGAGAATGGAAGTCGTATTTTCCTTGTAGTATTTGCCACTCACAAACTAAGTGCTTTTTATCTTTTCAATGCTTTATTTTCAGCTTTAATTATTTTATAAGAGAACTAGGATGTATAAACACAATACATAGCTTTTATATATTCTGTTGATATGCATAACAATCATCACAAAATTAAGGACCAAAATGCGTCTTAAAGTCCAAGCGGTCCAACAACATTTTGCTTATTTGTTATTACGACTCTACCTAAGCATGAATTATGAAGCTGCCAACGTTCTCTTTTAGTTAACCAACGAACAGATGTATACTTACAGATAGTAAATAGTATTGTTATATTTTTCTTTTTTAAAAAGCACTGTTTTAACTCCATTTTGCTAACATTTTATTCATTACCCTTGTTTAATTCCAATATAATGGCCAGAACCATTGTTGACAGTGACAAGTGGATAGATATAGGTTATATAACGATATAAATATGAAGATGGTCCGGTCATCTATAACAATTATCCATTATAACAACGAAATTTACCAAGTCTTTTAAGGTCGTTATATTAATCCACTGTATATTAATTCCAATATAAAAAGAATATTTTCAAATTTAAAAATTCCCTGACTTCAACAATTTTTCCCTGACTTTTGCTGGTTTTGAAAATTCCCTGACTTTTCCAGGTTTTCCCGGTCGGTTGCCACCCTGACCTATATCTTCAAATTTTAGATACTGTAATTTTCCAGGTTTTGTTTTGCTTTTACTACTTACATCCACAACATTTCCCAACCAGGTCAGCAAATTTCTCCAATACTTACATTGGTTTTCCAGTTCTAAGTGAAACTCCTTGCTGAACACACCTGTAAGTCTATTTTTATTCTTCTAATTTTATTTACTTTTAATACTTCTTATTTTATTAGATCCCTTTATGTCCATTATTTCATATTATATCCTTTTTCCTTTTCTTCCAATCTCTCCTGTAGAGCTGTAGGAGTATATTCACAATTGCATATATTATATTTTATATTATACTACAACAATTGATACCATCTATTTACTTTAGTTAAGGATCTTGTTACTTAGCCTACTCTGTTTATACAACTTATTGTTCTTAATATTTTAATGTACTTACAGTTTATAATTTTAATAAGTTTATTCACATTGTTTATAACTTTTTATATAAATTTGATGTAACTTCCACAATTCTCTATATCTTTTTGTATCTTGTCTGTTCTAGCCATGAAGAAGACCTGCAAAGTCATGTCGAAATGTTGGTTTTTAATAAAATAGTTTTGCCACTATTTAGTCTATTTATGATCACCACCGCAGATCATCTCCTTCCAAAAATATTTAATCTAAAGATTATGCGAATACGACAATATTCTTCATTACATATGTAAATACAAGATTATTTATTTTGGCACAAAAGCAAAAAAAATAAAAGTCCCGTTTTAAAAAAAAAATCTTATACAATTCCCGGTCGCTGGACACCTTGTATTTGCTTCTACTGGGTGTCTCTTGGATATGTGGATTGTAAGCCCACATTTATTTTTAAATGATGATTGACAGACTGGACAAATATGACTGGAACTATCTTTTCTTGATGTTGTAACCAAGATTAAGGAAGCAGTGAAAAAAACAAATATAATTCTTCTCTCTTTTGTTTCCTGTGCAAGATGACTAATTGATATTTTAGCACGTGCATGTGCTCTTACATCTTATATCCTTTGTATCTTGACTATCTTTTCTAGATGTTTGGATGTGGCATGCCATACTATTGTATATAGAATAAGTATCTTTTATTTTGTTATTTTTATTATCTTAAATATCTTCTTTTTTATCTTTAATTGTATATAGTAATTATGTTTAAATTCTCTCTTTTTCCTTTTATTTTATTTCTTTTTATTGTACATAGTATTAATTCTGTAAATATTTCTTTCTGTAAATAGATCTGTTAACCTTTTTTGCTGCTTCATAAAAAATATCCAACCTAACCCCTTCTCACCTGAGCTAGCATGGTAGAGTAAATATTTAATGATGGCCATTAAAGGGTAAGTACTTTATTTTTTCTAGATTTATCTCTTTAGAGATGAAAGGCTAGTAAAGCCAAGTGCCCAACAACTAAAGATTCTGATATAAAATTATATTTATTAAAAATTGTTTTCTTATAATTGGTAAATGGTTGACTGTCGTGGATAATGTAGAGAAGAATAGTTGGGGTGGTCAGTCAAAAAAGAAGGCAAAAATAAATATTATCATTTATTTTTGCCTTCTTTTTTGACTGACCACCCCAACTATTCTTCTCTTCATTGTTTTCTTATATTTTTACTTTATCCTTTTTTTTTGGTCATAATGTTCAGGGTTGAAAATTGAATGGTTATCCACAGAAACTCCTCTTGAGATGGAACTCTCGGGCCTTGAGAATTGAGAGTCAATTCATTGACTTCATGATTCACAGTCTCTATTGTGTTTCGAAGAAAAATAGTGTCTGCAGAAACAGTTTTTCCTAAAACAATTCCAGTATCCTCCTCCCATTCAACTGACACAACCCGAAGATTGAAATCTGTATTATTATTATTTAGGTTCATATATTTTCTTTCGTTTTTTCAACGTAGAATGAAATGTAAGAATAAATAAAACCGCAATAAATTATTAATTGAGTGTTTCATTTCTTATCATACCCACAATTATCACCTACTAGATTAACATAAATAGTTTTATATAAATGTGTCTTTATTATATAAACAACAAATTTTGGTAATTATTTACAAGCGGTACTCCTCCGGTCATCTTGGTTGAATGAAAGTTATCCACGTTTCAGATAAGGCTTACAAAATGTAGCATCAGAAAGAGCCACTATTGCGGCGGGGTTGTCTTGTCCACTCCACCTCACCTACTTTTTAACTAAATGTAGAAATTATATCGTTTAGGTTACATATTACCCACCATTTTCACTTCATAGGAAATAATTATCGATTGAACATCCATTCCAATTTCCATCTTATCAACATAATATTATTTATGCTTATAGTTTTTGTATATATTCAGTCAATCAAATAGATTTTCAGCCTAATGGGCTACATACTGTCATAAAGATCTATTTCATTGAAAGAACTTCATTAATTTAATTTTTTTTAAATTGTGACACTCTATCTAAATTTTTAAATACTTGATAGTTGACCATTGTATATTTCAAAATGTATATATTAAACAATTTACAATTTTCTATAAGGGTTTTAATGCTGGTTATAAGGGTTATCTTTTTCAATTATATGTTACATAAATATTTTTCTATCAAACACATTTTCAGTCTACTGAGGTACATACTGGCATTACCAGATTCTAAAGAAAATGTTTCAGGATCATTTAGGAGATCTCTAGCGATTGATTAATAATCAAAGAACAAAACACAACTGAAGTTCCTTAAAATGTGAACTTTAATCGATATACTGAAGATACAAAAAAATCGACAGGCTAAAAAAAAATGCTACTAATATATATTGTAAAGGTTATATTAGTTAATTATTTGTAATGAACGTAAGATAGAGGGGACAAGAGCTGACAAAACAACCCCTCCGTAATAGTGGTGCTCCTGGTGATGTTTTGTAAACCTTATCTGAAACATTGTGGATAACCTTTATTTAACCAAGATGGCCGAAGGAGTACCATTTGTAAATAATTACCAAATTTTTTAGTGACTTTCATATTTTATTTTAGTATTGAGAGAGTAAGAGATAACAGCAGCTCAACTTATTAGGCGATTATTTTACAAATTATACAACTATTAATTTAATTACATATGTGTTGAGCTCCTGTTACCTCTTGTTCTTTTAATACAAAATAAAGATTTTGGATGAAAATATGTATGGATATTCATCTGGATCTGGTAGTTTGATTTAACCTAGGTGACAGCAGTTATTTGTCGATCTAGACATTTCTACTTGAATACAATATATATTATTTTATATATATATATATATATATATATATATATATATATATATATATATATATATATATATAAGTTGAATATATATTATAATTAAAAATTGGCAATAAAAATAATTGTAATTATATAAATTGGCAATAATGTGCAATGTATTAAAGAAATTAAAAATTTGTCCGAACTGTGGTTTCGTTGAATTTATTTTATGTTGATAAAAAAATAATACAATCTGAACTACAGAATACATGTAAATTAAAATTATACTATTTCAGCAATGAGTAGTACAATTAAATGAACATTTGTATAATTTGTAAAATGGGAGTTGGTCTGCTGTTAGGCGGACAGGGGGTAATTCGCTATTAAGTTAAAAAATAAATTACAAAGAGAACTATAATATAATGTAATAATCATAACTGGTACCTGCAACTATTTCGGGATTATGAGGACTGGGCTTGTGTTGAAAAATTCGATGAGCTTCTTTTATTTTTATTTTGTCTATTTCTTCCATATGTTCAACATCAACACAGTAGAGGTGTTGGTCTTTAGCTGAAAAGGTGAAAAAATCACCTTGAGAGTTCCAATTAATACTCTCCAGGCCAGTACGTAAAGTACTTTGGATTTCCCAAACTTTCATACATTCGTATCCTGCCTTGATAGGCTTTGCCATGTCATATAATGAAACATGTTGACCTGAATGAGCAACCAATAATCTGAAAATAAATTAGTAGTGTAAATGAGTTATGTAATTCTCAAAGCTGGTAAATAAGTGAATTTGGTGATTGGGTTTACATAATACCAATGATTTAACTATGATTTGGTTTACATAATACCAACATTTTTCAATTTTTTTTTTAGTGTAAGTATTATACTGTGTTGCAGTCTTTAAGTACTTTATTAATACTTATAATTTAGTTAATATTAATACTAATAATAACATATAAGAGTTCCTATTTATAAATAGTATTTTTCAAAATAATAATGTCATTTTTAAAAATATTTGGGTCTGGTGACCACAACTCGTTCATCATGTCCATAACAGCAGAGAAGAAGCAATAATCACACATACATGGCTTGAGTGGAGAATCTGGATATTGAAAAAACTCCAATATATACTTATTCACAAAAGGTCACTCACTGGGCCACTGCCGCTTCAATGCCGGACTGTGACTGAGAAAGGAAGCTGGATGGAATTAAAGTGTATTGGTGGACAGGAGTTGCATCAGAGTGTAAAGGTAATATGTTGGCATTTGGATTCATTCACTTCAATACATCAGTCATTATACCAGTGCTCAATCAAGGAGAGGTACCTTTGCAGATTTGAGGATGCAATCAGAGTTGGATGATAAGATTGCGGTGTCATCAGCGAATGTTACAATGAAAGTATCGGGATGAACAGGGATGTTAGCGGTAAAGAGGATGTAAAGTGCGGGACCTAAGATGCTGCCTTAGGGAACACCGGCTTTAACAGAATATATATTGGAAAATTCTGTTCCACAGTAACCTCGAAAGGAGCGGTTAGATAGGTAGGATCGGAGGACTAGTTACAAGGACTGAGATAAATAGATTCTAAGCTTGAAGAGTAATCCAGTGTGCCATACCCGGTCAAATGTCTATGCTATGTCCAGAAATGCATCCGAACAGTATTCCTTGTTTTCTAGGGCTGAGGTAATATGATCAACAACTCGGAGTCCTTGTTGAACAGTAGAATGTTGAGAGCGAAAACTAAACTGATGGGAAGGAAGATTTTGGGATTCTATAAAGGGTAGGATTCGTTTTAAAACGATTTTCTCAAAGATTTTTGAAAGAATGGAGAGTAGACTAACTGGTTTCAGGAATAGGATAATAGTAGAATGTTTCCATAATAGAAGAAAATGAATAGTGCGTAAGATGCAATTATAGATATATGTAAGGAATATCACTGCTTGGATGGAAGTTGTAGAAGGATCTGGGTGGAGGGGGGGATGTAAGATCATATCCAGGAGATTTACGGGAGATTAGTTTTTGAAATTTGAATTTCTCTTCAGAAGGATTAGGATGGGATTCTTGATTGAGAATAAATGCATTGCAGAGATGTTAGGCGAACTCATCAACTTTGCCTTCTTCAGATGCTGCCCAGGAGCCGTCATCTCGCTGGAGGATATGAGAAATCAGTTGATTTTTTAGGATTTTCTTAGTGGTTTTCCAAAGAGAATTGTCAAGAACAGAGAAGGAGGATAGGTAGGAATTAAAGGATTCGGACCTATAGGATGTTAATTCCCGCTTTAGTTTCTTGCAGTGGTAATTATAGGAACAGTGATTAGCGGGATGTTTGGTACATTACCATAGTGATCTGGCACATCGTTTCAAATGGATGAGATCTAAGAGGTAGTGAGGTAAATTGTTTTGCTTAGGATTTCTTGGGGAGTTACTTGAGGAGGAGGCAGTCTATGCGGCTTGTTGGGTTGAGGTAATCAAGAAATTGACAGCATTGTCAAGGTCATCTGGAGTTTTGAGGGATATATTGAGATCTGATTTGTGAGAAAAGATTCCAATTTACGAGGCCTCTTATGAATGATGGTGAAGAAGGTTTGAGGACGGGTTCTAGGGAAACATTAAAAATTAATGGACTATGGTCAAAGGAAAGTTCGTTTCGGGTTAGAAGCTGATTTATGTATTAATTATATATTTGATTGCAATGAATATTTACCTTTATAGACTTTAAAAAGATATTGTCAGCAACTCGGAGAGATCTGATTTTGATGAAAGTTATATAGTACACAAAAGTGGGCTGGCCAACAGAAATGGACTCGGAGCTTCAGCCTTTTTCATCGCGTAGGGAAGAATTATTTGTGGAGAAGGATATTCTGTTATGGGGTTACCGAGTGGTAGTCCAACGACTTTTAAGGCAGCGAGTTTCGGAGGAGTTACATGCTTCACATTTGCGAATCATGAAATTAAAATCATTAGCCCATTCATATGTATGGTGGCCAAAAATGGATAAGGCTATCAAATAAATTGTACAAGTATGGCGAGTCAGTAATGTTACAAAAGATAATCTAGTGAAGATGTCATTATTACTTTGGCGATGGCCATCAAAGGACTAGGAGAGGTTGCACATTGTTTATTCAGATCTGTTTATAGGGAAATATCTTTTAATTGTAATCGATGGGCATTCAAAATGCTCCAGCTCAAGCTTTGTTTGGCAGATCATTACCAACAAGACTCAATCTATTGAAACCTCCTTCAACAAAGACTAAAGTGAAACAGCACCAAAAGAAACAATTAAAAACATATGGTGGAAGGCCCAACACAAAGAAGTGGTCTGTAAAGAGAAAGGATGGAGCAATGGGCAAGATAAGAGAATGGACAATGGATCACAACTGGAAGGAAGATAAACGGGTACACGCTACATAGGAAAAACATCTTGGTCAGGCTAAAATGAAAGTTTTTGTACCATCAAAGAATACAACTTGGATTCCTCATTTGGACCAAGTAAGGTTGGCACAAAAGGAAGAATCATTAATTAAATTGTTTAGCAATGAGGAGCCTCCAGGGAATGTAGACAAGCCGATAAGGAATAAATCAGAGAGCGATCCTCAAATATCCACTGCTTTGCCTATGTTGGTGGAGAAGAACCCAATTGCGATGACTGCTCCCTGTGAAGAAACTCAAATGTACCAATGGAGAACTACAAAACCTGTAAAAAGACTTATAGAGGAAATTTAAGAGCTTATTTAGTTTAATTGTTATTTATGTTTAAGGTGGAAAAAATGTAGTACATTAACCTTTTATTAAAATGTTAAATACTAAATCAATGTTATATCGATTTAGTGTTTAATCTTACTGGAAATCAGACATATGTATTTCAGAGATTACGATCACAAAATGAAACTACGATTAATAAACGGAAATTGTTCGTGTTGGAGTCTCTGTGAGTCATTGATACATTACACTTATAATGTAAAATATGGCTAATAAATAACACAGACAATATAAGGCTCACTTACAAACATTGAAAATCATAGGGTTAGCTAAAATTATAAAGTAAATTGTAGAGATGAAATGCAAAAAAAAGGCAGCTGTGATCTAACTATTGATTCATATTACCATTTCAATTCATATGAATAGTAAGTTTTAAGAGAGATGAGAACAAAATATTAATTAATGCGAAAATCATAGTAAATACACACATGCATAAAATAAACAATAAAAAAATGACCTGTTGTTCAGAGAAGAAAAATCAGCGCCATATGGGGAAAATTTCTTCTGGTAAACTTCACTTTGATGAGAATGCATTCTTTTAAGAAGTTTATGGTGCATTAAATTGCTATATGAATGGTTGGTGATAAAACCTTCATTCTGCCGCTGGGTTAATTGGATAAGATCCATTTAAACAAATTAATAAAAACAGACGACACATAAACAACAAACCTGAACTGAATCAAACGAATTGGCGGTTATTATAGCATATACAAGTAAATTTCCAAAGAGATATCAAAAACCCATTCCAACAAATGTAGTTCAAGAGAAAACTACAATAATATTGTAGGGCTGCCCCAAGGTCAATAAAACTACCAGGTTCGCTCACTCAGAGGGAAAATGGTGGGGAGGAATCGAGCTCTGACGTAGCCAATAGACTGATTTTACCCCTCCGGCCTTTGTTTCTGGACATTTTAAGATTATTATTTACTTTTCTACATTAAATCATACTGTATTGCCAAATAACTTATTAATTATTAATTTTAATAATTTGAAAGGTGAGAGAAAGTTTGATTTGATATTTGGTTTATTCTGAAGCAAATAAAATGTAATTTAACAAGTTGATGTATGGTTTTTTGCAAAGTACCACAATAATATTTCTTAAATATTTCAAATAAATACAGAGCATAATATAAAATATAAAAAAAAAGAAAAATTATTTAATCTAAAATTAAAGAAGCGTTTTCTTTCCGTGAATTTTTGTAAATATTACATTTTTATGTCATAAGTAATCCTATGTAGTGATTTTTCTCAAGTTTTTTGCCTTTGATTTTATGTTTTCTTAATTGTTGTAAAAATCTTTGGGTATTTAAAAATTTTATTCTAATAAATACCCGTTGCTGAAAGAAAGCCTTTACCAGTTCTTCATTAATTTCTGCATTTTGTTTCCTAAGAAAAAAATTAGTTAATTTTTTTACAATATTTGTTTGTTTTTTTTTACAATATTTTTACATTTACATTTTAAAATCTAATCTTTTCTTCGAGCGTCCTTTGGAAAAGTATGAAATGAAATTTTCTTTCCCATCTTCTTTGCGTCAATTAGATTATTGTTGCAAGATGAAACTGCGCATTTTGTATCTGGCGTTCTATAGGATTCTATTAATAATTATGTTATTATGAGAAATACAAGAAATAATAGTAAGAAAAAACGAACTCTCTTCTAATTCATCTCTATACTTTTCCTTTAAGTGAGATGTGCATTTATTATAGATATCCTCTTTTTCTACCTGTACCTTAAAGTCTTGATTCTGATCGTTCGTTTCAAATTTGATCGTGGGATCCACTATTAGTGCCTTATTTTCCTTCACATTAAACGGTCGGTTGTCAACGAACATAGTTGAGCCTTCCGTTACCAAAGCAATAAACCGGTAGTTGCCTTCTTTTTCTGTGTCCCATGCGAACATAATCGGTTTGCTTCCCTTGAACTTGCTGAACCTCACTTCCATAAACCTGGTAGAGTTGATCTGCTGAATGTATAATTCTTGAAGCTGAAATGTACATAGAAGTCTTAAGCGACCCTGTTTTATTCTTAAAAGGTCAACCTAAAGCAATACATACCTCGCTAGGAGACCCTCTCAGATAGCTCTGCACCTTCAGTCCATACCTTTTTCATTTAGACCAACCTTTCCCTACAGGAGGATTTAAAACGATTTTGGGAGAAGGTTATATTTTATATTCCACCGAACCCGGAAGATTCATTTTACAAAGATCATTTTAAAAATACATGCTCTCATGATCTACAGGGTAGATTTGTCGTTTCATTTCCTTTTCGTTCTAATCAGCCTGTTAACCTTGAATCCACCACAGAAATACCTCTAAGCAAACATAGAAGCCTTGAAAATCGATTTATAAAAGATCCGGAGAATAAGTCTGTCTTTGCTGCACTGATCAATGAAACGAAGCCCTGATCATGTTCGCCTCGCGTATGTCAAGGTCCATCACGGAGTCACTAAAGATTGTACGATTACCAAACTTAGAGTCATGTTTAATGGTTCAGAGAAGACGGTGGGGGGATGGAGTTACCTTAATGACCTGCTTTTGACCGGTTAGTAGCTCCAGACTGATATTGTTGACCCTTTTAGATTTTTTTAGATAGATCATTTTCGTAATTTTCCTGTTGCCTCAACATGCTTTTATGATTTTTTTGTTATTTTTTTTTTGTTTATTGAATATTACAACATTCTGTCACTTAGACATTAATTATAGTGAGGTGAAATCACATTCACACTATATGTATGAAACATATAAAATAAACAGATGCAAAATAACAAATAAATAATAGTCAAAAAGTATATACAATAAATAACTTAAAACAAGGAAATTAAAAAAAACAAAACAGTTATTACAATCAGGCGAGGAAACTCCGAGGCAGGCTTATTCATCCAACTATGGAAGGAAAAGCAGGACTCCAGAAAATCCCTGCGCTACTCTCTCAACCGTATCACCTGTACTAAAGTCAGCGGAGATTGGTCGAGAGCGCTTTACCACCTACACGTACGTCTTGAGTGGAGAATCTGACCATTGTCAGAACTCCAATATACACAATCCACAAAAGTTTACGGGGCCAATGCCATTTTAATCTTCTTGGAGGATTATAGGAATGGGCTGTGCAAGAGGGTAATGCACAAAGGGTGAAGGCAATCTGTTAACATTTGGATTCGTTTATCTTAATGAACCATTTCTTACGCCAGTGTTCCATCAGGGAGAGGTGCATTTGTAGGCTTAAGGTCGCTGTTTTAGGACCTGAGTTGGTTGAAAAAATAGCGGTATTATCAGCGAATGTTTCCAGGAGAGTATCGGGACGGACATGGATATCTGCGATAAAAAGAATGTAAAGGACGGGACCCAAGATGGTGTCCTACGGAACTCCCGCCTCTACTGAATAGCAGTCGAAGAATTCAGGAATTCAGTACCACAGCGTACTTGAAAGGGGCGTTCAGAGAGGTAGGTTCTTAGATATAAGTACTGTGGTAGACCCAATTTAAGATTGAAGAACAATCCAGCATGTCATACTCGGTCAAAAGGCTGCGCAATGTCCAGAAATGCACTCGAACAATGTTGCTTTTTACCTAGAGCTGAGGATATGTGGTCAACAACTCGGAGTCCCTGTTAGACAGTAGAATGTTGGGAACGAAATCCGAATTGTTCAAAATGCCAAGTTCGAAATCGGATTTTGTTCAGGAAACTATGAAGGGTAGGATTATTTTCAGAAGGATCTTTTCAAAAATGTTTTGCTGAGGTATTGTACAGTTAACAAAATTATCAGAAGGCCTCGGCAGAGCGTAGTTCAATTTAAGGGTAAGGTGACTAAGTGAATGAAGGAAGATGAGTAGACTGGATGACCTCAAGTGTCATGCGGATCAGCACCCAAATCACCCTTGGTTTGCGGTGTAAGGGATCAACCTTGACACTCCGCAGGAACGGAGAGATCAATCTCCTGACTTTGTGGGAGGATGAAATACTAACGGAGAGATCAACGTCCTGACTTAGTATGTGGGAGCACAAGCGGACGGATCAGCATCTACACCTTGTATGGAAAGGGAATAAGAAAAGGGTTATAAGAACATAATAAAAGAAAAGATAGTTTGATATAGAACCAAAAAAAGAGTACATACAATATACTGATCACTGCTATGAAGGTATCTGATTTTCCAGCCTAAGGGCTAGGAGAATCCCTTCATGCGAAGGATGGGTAACGAGATTCGTACCCGAATATACTGATATTATTTTTTTATCAGTTGGTTATATATAGCATCACTTTATTTAATAAAATAAACATGCCTTTAAAGTAAAGATTTAACAATAAAAAAATACATTTTAACAAGTAATATATATATATATATCTTCTTATGGTGAGCGTCTGGTGGTGGCGCAGTCTCGTAGCGAACACTTGAACTACGTGAAGTGTTGCAATCTATAGTTTGATAGTATTGGGAGTAGGCTAATAAGTCTATGATGTATTGTTGGCGGGTTTACCGGGTTTCAGGAAAAGGACGATGGTGGAATATTTCCATAGGAGAGAGAAGTACAGTACTTCTGAAGATGCAATTATAAATATATGTAAGGAATATGTTGATTGAAGGAAGTTAGTCAACTGTTCTACATATCATGGGTGATAAAATATTCAGGACGCAGTCATTATAAGGTTTTTATTAGTGCCGACGTTTTAACCCAAACATGTGGGTTATCATCAGAGCGTACTGGAACATTTTCAGTGCTCGAACCACGCCCTGATGATGACCCAAATGTTTGGGTTGAAACGTCGGCAATAATAAAACCTTATAATGACTGCGTCCTGAATGTTTATCACCCATGTAAGCTATATGATAACTGTAGGTGGAAATTGTCAAAGGATCTATGGGATTAGGACTTCGTAAAATGAAGATTTACGAGGAGTGATTTTGCATGAAAGGTTTTTGACCTCAGATGGATTAACTGCTTTAGATGATAAGGAGCGTGGGATTGGTGAAGAGAGGAATTCTTGTACTTTTGCAGTAAGGGTGATATGAGATCTTGGATGATGAGTGAACGTACTGGAGAGGTGTCTGGCCATCGCATCAACGGAGTGTGTTTAGGACACTTTTCAAATTTTAAATTAAGGCAAGGCAAATAAATCTCATGAGTTCTTAATAGGCAACATTCAAATTATGGGCAACATTCTACTTTTATGCAGTGGACTGTATTTTAATGAATTGGTAGGTTACACGAATTTCACAAAAACAGCTTACCATTTTTATGCAGGCTTAAAACATCTCTTTGTTACCTGAGGGCGGCCTCGGAGCATCTGCCGTGTCTGACTATCTGTGCTGGTCTGAGGCCGAGCGCTGCGTCGCTTGTACGGATTAAGCGTTATCTTTTAGATCTTATGATCTCACCACTCGCCATAACGAACAAATTTGAAACTATTTTCGTACAAAAATATCTTCCAACGTGAAATATTTCATTTCACAAATTAAAAACGAAAAAACTAAACTCAGAGATTGATGATTACCAGGCAATTCACAAACGATAGGAAAATTGCTTGGTTTACAAAAAAGAAAGATAGAAATTATTCAAAATACATAAATTATTCACTTGTTGTGAGGCACCAGATTATGGAGGTATTCATTATACCATCTCTTCCAAAAATTACGAAGAGTCTTTAAATGATACCCCAACGACTTGTCAAAGGAAACAGCTGCGTCTTCTTGTTCAGG